CCCCCCCGGGCCCGCGCGTCCCCGCGACCCGGACGCGGACACTGGGGTGCAGTTAGACGCCCGCACTTCGTGCTCCATAGGCGGCTCGCTTTCGGAGGGCGGGGGCGGCGCCTGTCCTCGCGGGGAGGAACGCTGCGCTGTCCCGCGGCGGAAGACTCGGTTTACTCCCCAGGACTTAGATCTACGAAGGACGTGGCCGCGATGTGCGAGGGGTGCAGAGCGGTGACTGTTCAAAGCTTTCTTACCGTAAGGGACACATTGCCGTCGTTCCCCCCATGTCTTCCCCCAACACACTTGCCCCTTTGTTCTTGCCCCTGTCTGAAGCAGCCCTGAGTGTCTGAGCGGCTGTCTCCGTGTTCTGAGTCCATTTCACATACTTTCCGCGGTCCCTTTGGCTTCGGGGAAAAGCCAGAAGTCCCGTGACACCAGATCCAGTGGATAAGGACGCGCTGTGATGTTTTTATCAGCCTGCTTGTCCCTTCAGTGGCACTTGGCAGCAGCAGTCAGTGTATTTTTGACCGCCCCTTGTAAAGATAGATATTCAGGAAAGAAGACTTCCAGAACTGCTTCAGAAAGTAGCAAGATTGAGGAAAGTACCAAGGGTTGTATTTTTTAAACTTTTTTTTTTTTTTTTTTTGGAGACAGGGTTTTGCTGTGCATTTCAGGCTGGCCTTGAGCTCACTTTGTAGCCCAGGCTGGTCTCAAACTTGCAAGGATCCTCCTGCTTCAGCCTCCCGAGTGCTAGGATTACAGGCGTGCGCCTCCACGCCCGGCTTTTTTTTTTTTTTTTTTAACTTGAAGCTTACTTTTTTGATCGGCCTCAGTAAATTCACAAAGCCCAAGTTAGCAAATTGTGAGACTCAAGTTTCCAGAAATGCAGGTTTGAAGTTCCAAAAGTGTGTTTTCTATTTTACTAGGACCGTCCCAAACCTTCATGGTTGATTATCACCGGGAGAGACTGATAAAGTTAGTGTGTGTTGTAAACAGCTTTGGTTGTTGATGGCAACATGTTCCCGGATGGGGGTGGCCTGACATACATCGCAGGAAGAACTGGGGAAAGAAAGTGTGAAGGTGTGTCTTTGAGAAATAAAAACACCACCTATGCCAGGTGGGAGAATGGAGCAGGAGTTGGCAGGAGGCAGAGAGTTAAGTTGTTTGCCAATGCCATTCCTGTTCCTGAGAAAGGTGGCGATGCCAGGTGACAAAAGTAACCCCCAATTCCCGTGGTGTTTTTTGTTTTATGGGGTGAGACACCGGAAATCGAACTCAGGACCTCAGGCTTGCCAGGCAGGCGCTGCGCCCCTGAGCTAAATCTCCAGCCGCACCCATGTGTTTTTATGAAGCCTCATGTTCTTTGTTTTTTTTGTTTGTTTTTTGTTGTGTGTGTGTGTGTTCTTTCTTTGAATTCATGTGAACGTTTCCTTCTGTTTCTTTATAGACTGGCTTTTGATATGGACTCACGAAAAAAATACAAATTGCTTTTCTATTTCTGCAAGTTGGGACTACAGCTAGAGGTACATCAGGATAATTTCTTATCTCTGTGTCACACCAAATTTTGTACAGTCGTGGGTACAAGCAGAAATGTCTCCCCTGTCTTCAGGAGCGGCTTCAGGGTAATCTCTGGAAGAGACCCAAGCAGCTGCAGGACGCGTACACTGGAATGTGACCGTGCTTGTTAGTTTGTGTGGTCCTGGGAATTGAACCCAGAGCCTTCCCCCTGAGCTACATGTGCAGGCCTTCTTTTATTTATTTCACAAAATCATTAAAGTGCCCAGGCGGGGCCCCAACTTTCCACTCTCCTGCCTCCCCCTCCCGGCGCATGGGGATTTCAGGTGTGTGTCATCATACCTGCCCGTCGTCAGAATCCTTTTAAATTGACTGTTGTCACTGTGAAGCTGCAAACGCTCAGTTGTGGTTAGAAAGCTGCTGTTTGCTTCCCCATCCCGCTCATTATCAGATCCCACAGCCCTTGTACTTTCCTAATGTCCCTAATTACCGTGTGCTTTCTGCCTCGATGACAGCCCCAATAGGACGCCTTTGACAGCTCAGAAGGAACAAATTTTTAAGTCATCACTGCTTTGGAAAATGTTTTCCTTTTTTTAGCGTTCATGGTTTTTTGCCCACCTGAATGAAATAGGAGAACATGATTCTTGGAAGCTGGCTTGCACACACACACACACACACACACACACACACATGCACACACAGAGGGTAAAACTTCTGAAGAAACATACAGTTGGAAACTTCTCCCTCTACCCCAAACCTAAACATCACATTGCCTCTCCTGACCAGAGCGATGTACTTTTTATCCTTTTCCACGCCCTCCCCAGACCTCAAATTGAGGATCGTGACTATCGCTAGTTAGGAGCAATAGGAAAGTTATAGGTGTAGATGTAGATATAGTAATACCTCGGTTCACAAATGCTTCTGATCATGAAGAGTTTGGTTCACAAACAAGTCTTCATCAAACTTTTGCTTCCATTCTTGAACTCCGCATCAGGTGACAAACACACCCGTGGCCATCTTCCTCAGAATCCTGGGACAAATTAGGTTCATGAATCAAGGTGCCACTGTATTTGGCATAATAAAAACTGTCCTAAAAAGATCCTGGCAACAGAGTAAAGGAGGTAATCCGCATCCCACACACTTCATGCCCTGTTTAAATGATAAAGTGGCAGTTATGAAAAGTGTCTTCATGTATTCAGTGAATTGTTACATAGAAATGGAGGGTACAAATCAAAATCCCTATCTTCAGGGTGCTCACATCCTACAGGGGATAACAAATGATTTTTAAAATGTACAGAGTTCACCTGGCGTGCTGGCACACACCTGTAATCTCAGCCCTCGGGAGGCTGAGGCAGGAGGATCATTGCTAGTTCGAGACCAGCCTGGGCTACAAAGTGAGCTCAAGGCCAGCCTGAACTGCATAGCGAGACCCTGTCTCAGAAAAGCAATAAATAAATTAAATATGGAGTTCATATGATGATCAGTATACTATTAAGAGCAGGGTATAGTGATATAAACCTATAATCCCAGCTGTATAAGAGACTGAGCCAGGAGAATCTCAAATTGGAGGCCAACCTAGACAGTTGAGCGAGAACCCTCTCAAAATGGAAAAAAAGGCTGGAGTTGTAGCCCAGCAGTAGAGTGTCCTTGGTTTTGAGAGAGTTAGGAACCACCATGGTGGAACAGAGGGCTGGGCTGACAAGATACAACCCTGGGCCCCGTAGACTGCTACAAGAGGTGTTTCAGGAAACCTATTGTGAGACCCTTGTAAACCACAAGAGAAGAAAGTGCAGAAGATGAGAAACTGTTACCAGGAGAAAAACTAAGCCCTCTAATTTAACTTGCTCTTAGTCAAATTCAAATCACTAACTGGAGATCACAGAGCTGGGCAATACATTATTACCTTCCCAAGCGCTTTGCTCTAGATAACACCTCTGATGTGGGTTACTGTAACAGTTGCCTGGGTTGCATCCCAGGGCACCAAAAGTCCGCTCCTCACAATCCCCATGGTACTGGGGTTTGAACCCCAGGTTTTCACATGGAGCTACATCCCCAGCCCTTAATTATTTCTTTAAATTTTGAGAGGATCTTGCTAAGTCGTGAAGCTGGCAAAACTAGGGATGCACTTGAGATCCTCCTGCCTCAGCCTCCAGGAATGCTGGAGATTATAGGTGTGTACCACCATAGCTATTTTTTGGTGACATTTACTGAGAACCCTAGCTCTTCACTTGGGCCTATAGATAGCTGATGAGTGACAGAAATGGGATAAAAAGC